TTAAGTATTATATTAACAAGGGGGGTCCTGCATTATTAGTTCACCTAGTGATCTTGCATCAGAATCAGATTTGAAGAGCTTTATTAGTTTAGTTTATATTTGACTTGATAAATATGTGGAGTGCAAATTATCATAAAGTAATGACTGAATAGTACTAGATTTAAGGGGACTATTTTGAGCAGCGGACCGATCCACAGTTGTTGTCTTAGTGAGGTGTATGCAGAAACAGCAGATACCGTCATGCTGACAGTCAGTCGGGTTTATATCTGATTAGCTGACAAAAAAAAATTAAACCACAGCAGAATAATTAATATCCATGTATTGTTTTATTATTAGTGCATTTAAATGTACAGCAAAAGTGTCTTGTTCTGTTTTCTATGAAGAGAGATCTAAAATAATATATAATAAAGAGGTAAGAGCATGAACGATTGAAGGGAACGAAAAGAGAGTAATGAAGCGAGAAAACGACAGAGAGCGAGGAAGAGACATATGGTGGCTTGTGGTTTGCAGACTTTTCTGCCTGGCGGCGTTGAGCTGACAGCTCGCCTCACCGCTCCGAATAACATGAGAACACAACATGTAAAAATAGAAAGAAAAGGTAGAGACAATAGAACGAGGCAGGAGCGCCAAACTAAAAGCAGCAACAGCAGCAGCAAATGGAGATGAAAGAGCAGAAAGTAAATGTACGTGCAAGGCTGTGTGTGCAGAATGTAATGTCAGTTAAATGAAGAAGGAAAGGAAAATAAAAAAAAAACATACGAATTAGATTCAATTATAAATAAAGGCTAGAATAAAATAAAAATGTAAAAAACACTTGTACAGAAAGCAAGGTTATTTTTACTCAGAAATGTGCTCTGAAATATAAACTTTGAATAATTTACAGGAAAAAAAAAAGAATTCACAGGACATTTTAATAGCTCAAACTGTAGAGAAATCAAATAAATACAGTTCAGTTCAATTCAGTGGTTTACAATATTATCACTTTAAATACTTAAAGTAATAATTTATTAAATATTTATTATTATTATCATCGTTAAATAATGTGCTGCATTTCTTCCCAAATGTAAAGTTTATCCTTGTAAGCAGCTTTGTAACAAAATCTTAAAATAAAGACAAAAAGAAAAATAACCTAAAAAAGCATAATCTGTTAAATAATAATCTAAGAAATGATTATCTATTAAAACATTTTGATATGTTGCAAATAAATACAGATATATGGTGTTTATCTATACGATTTATTAAAAAGAAGCAAATATTTTATTATTTTTAGATATTTATATACATATATATTTTGCAAATTAATTATAAATGTGGTGTGTACCAGTCTCTGCTAAATTAAATACAATATTAATAAAATAAGATTTAAGAAAACACACACACACAAATAAACTTTTACACAAGTCATAATTAGTCCTAAAATATATTTTCTATTTCACCATTGTAAATAATTTAAACCTTTCTTTCATAATAAAACAATAATAAATAATAAACATGCATTTTTCTTTTGATTAACAAAATTTTATTCCTTGTTTAAACCTTCCAGAGTTTTTGAATTCCCTGACTGTACATATAGAATCATCGATGACGAGCTACATGTAGCTTTCCTTCTGATTTGGTTACCATCTCAGCAGGCAAATATTTAACACAGAGAGCCACAGCACAAAGAATGTGGAGAACAGACTGAAGGTTCTTTCTGCTGCAAGAAACAAATCGGCAGACAGAAAACGGAAGCAGAAGGGACTGAACGAGCAAGAGAAGGACAGAGAAATTCAGCTCAGTGTAAAGACTATTTCAGTGAATTTAGTAACACTTATAATACACCGTGTGATCATACAGGTCCATTTGATTTCTTAATATAATTGGTCTTGCTGATCACAATATTAACGGGTTGGGTGTAATTATTTTTTCAACTGTCTGATGTTTTTCATAGTTTTTCATCATCCAGTTTTTATTTATTTACTTTGAGATTTAAGAACAACCAAGCCTACAACACTGTGTGACTATGGTGGATATAGATTCTGATACCTTGATTTCTTTTTTTTTATTTAAATGAAATAAACAAACTAAAGCTTTAAAAAAATCAAATTAGTCCCTAAAAATAAACATGTGAAAATAGAATGATACAAACCACTTCTTTTAACATCATTATGCGATCACACTTATTTTTTTGACATTTCTTTTAGAATAAAAACATTTTCATTGTTAAACAGTTTACATATATAGTGAGATATATTTATATAAATTTAGTAGTTTATAAATATATATAATATGAATCTTTTAAATAAAAAACACTTAATAGATATAAACCTAGAAGCAGACAACATGACATCAGAAAAAAAAAGTTTTAAGTAAATTCTCTAATGCAAGGCAGTTTGAATCATCTCAAACCACACAATCAATAAAAAAAGTTTACACACACACACACACACACACACACACACACACACACACACACACACACACACACACACACATATATTTTATAAAACAATATGAACTAGTTCAACCTGATTGACTTGTTTGGCTTAGAAAATCTATGTTTGTTACACAAGATGTGATTTAATATGGTTCAGTGTTAGAAATTAATACTAACTACTACTGGACTTTACTTTGAGATTTTGAGAATGAAATCCAAACACAGACACACACGTGCGCACACACACACTCTGTCTGAAGACAAAGAGGATTCAGACATCAAGTAAGGAATTCAGTTCTGTTTTCCTGCAGCTGCTTTTACCTTCGCCTCAATTGATAAGTACGACTAGAGAGTGTGTTTGGTGACAGCTTGTGCAATGTGTGTGTGTGTTTGTGTGTGTGTGTGTGTGTGTGTGTGTGTGTGTGTGTGTGTTATTGTGTGTGTGTGTGTGTGTGTGTGTGTGCGTACAGGGAGAGAGAGCGAGAGAGTAGAAACATGAAGCCTAGCTATCAACGGGTGTTTTGCTGCATTAAAAATAAAAAACAAAGTCACAAAACCCTAAAAAACAGAAACCAAACTGAACCACATGTGGGCTGTTTGGACTTCACTCTCAAGCTAAAATCCACAAGTCTCAAGGTTTGCTTGTTGGTCATTTTCAAGTAAACTTTCAGAGTTGGCGGATTTCAGCCTGATGACTGTCGTTTTTCTTTAATTGCTCACAGACTCTCAAAAATAATTCAGTTTTTTGTCTTAAACACGCCTCCCTCTCTCCCACTCTCTCTCTCTGTCCCTGTGTTTTTTTAATTGGCATATAGGGAGGCTTGTTTGTTTTTGTTGTCTGCTGTTTCTTAAATGTGTGTGTTCGTGTTCATGTGGCCCCCAGTGTCCCAACAAGCACCGCGGTAGGTGTTGGGAGGCGCTTTCGGCGGCAACAACAAAACAACACAGAAAACACACGCAGGAATACACACAGCAAAATACATAACAAACACACAGACATAGACAGACACACACCGCTCAGACACAAAAACCTGTTAAAACACACGAAAGCATAAAACACACAAACACACACACACAAATGTGCACATCCTCACAGAAACACTGAAAAACACATAAACAGTAAATGGAGACAGTGACACGCACACACACACACACACACAAACGCACACACTTCTGTTGCCTCTCATGGGGCGCCATCTTGTGGCGATAGAAGAACCAACAGACACTTGTAGAAAGGCTTTTTGTGAAAATGCAAATGTGCCACTTTGAAAATACAAAAAGGAGAAGAAATTCAAACTTTAATCGTTAGAAGGATTCTGATACATTTTGTAACACATAAAGATTATTAAATACAACACACCATTGGATAAATCTTTATATATGAGAATTGTTTTCATTTTTGTTTTGAAAAACATTCGACATTTAAAAATCCTCAAATTAAACACTTTATGCAGATATTTGACACAAAAAAAGACAATTTCATATTTTTGAAGCTGCAAATTAAATTAATTCATGATGTTACTGCTGTAAACATTGTCTCAAAAAATATCATTATTTATGACATGTGTTACTAGTTAGTTTTGTTATGTGTTTTTGCATTTATGTATTGCTTTTTTCAGAGTATTGCAGCATAACTAAGGTAAGACGGGGAGTTGTGTGCTTTGTCTGTTTGTAAGACAGGTTTAAACTGAGTAAGATTAAAGTTTCATTTGTAACAGTGATATGTAAAATAACATATTTTTCACGTTTTTCACTGTAAAACATGTACAAACTTTGTGTACATAAAGATAGACACACTACTTCTCATATATATATACATTCAGCTGGTAGACAAAGGATTGAAAGTCAGTTACAAATAGAAATATATCCATTAATCAGTGTTAAACCAGTGTTTAACATGTATCTATGTTCACAAGCTGCTCCTTCTGTGAGATAAGGCTTTATGTTTGTGGGTTTTTCATTGTCCCATTCCTCTGAAGACACTAACTCAGTAGCACCATTAGCAATTTTTCTCCAAACAGCAAAAATGCTCCCATGGACTTGTGGATAAGCCAATCAGAATTTGGTGTTCACAAGGGACAGCAATTTCATTGCAGATAACTCAATAATTCATGTATAAATTGTGACAAAAAGCAATGCAAATGTGTAATAGGATTAAATCACAATGACCTATTATTTCCAAAAGTTCAAAGATCACACATTTTATATCACTTTCACATCTCTGTGAATATCCTTCTTATATGCTCAGACACTGAATATGTTCCCACTATGAAACTATTGTGTGCTTCTGTGCTGCTGGACTGTTGTGTCTAAGCATCTTTAAAGTATGTCTAAGCATATTTTCTTGGTTCTTTGCAGCAACATACATGCATTTGAGGCACTCAAATTGTTATATCAAAATCAGCTTTAATTGTGAAGCGTGTGAATTCATCTAAGGAATGTGTTTATTTCTTATGCATCTGTCTGAGAACTTACACAAAGACATAGAGCATCAGAAGAAAAAAGGCTTCACAAAGTCAGGTCCAACCACAAATCAAATGGGTGCTTCATTGTCTGGGCACCAAATGAGATCTTCTGCCCCTTGACCTTCACATCAGATGATTGTCTTACTGCATTCAGCAATAGCATCCACAAAAATAAGTAATACTGTGTTTTAATGTCATAAATTACTGGCATTTGTAGAAGTACATATAGTACTAATACTAGCATTTAGAGTATTTTATTAGTGCCTGTTACTACTAATCGATGTTGCAGTAAGGGTGTCAACAGCATGTACAGTACAGTGTATTTACACCATGGTAGTTACAATAGCTGTAATGGGACAATATTAACAAGACCCTTTCAAATCACTTTGAAAGTACTCTACAACAGTACTACTGTAGGTACTGGATTACCTTGTTATATTATTATTTGTCTCTGGCATATTTAGCAATAGCATCATTTGACTGGTTTGGCACCATCAGCAAGTAAAACAGTTCCTAACAGCAGCAGGACTACTCTTGCTGCTGCTCTATTCTACATTTCCACTGTGTTTCTACTGCAGGCAGAATAAAATAGATTTAATGTTTTTTATTTCTATTTGAAAATGTACGTTACAAATTAAAATGGATTTTCATGCCACAATCCTGTCAGTACTCTTGACTTCTGGTTTCACCTCTCTGTGTCAGACAGAGGGATTACTTGGTGTCAGTGTTGTTGACCCTCTCAACTTGTCTCTCTAAAAAGCTGTTTCCTCCTCGTACCCCTTATGCCTCCCCGAGGCCTCATTTCTGCCACCAGCCATTACCATCAAACCTCAGAAAACAGAGGAAAAAAACCAGGCGGCTTCAAAAAGTCTGCTGACAGGGCGCTCTAGTTCGGCAGCCTCTTATGCTTCATCCAGGATATGTGTGGAAAAGGCAAAATAAGGAATATTTGAGCATTGTCTAATCATAATCAAAAATAAAAACAATGTTGTGAAAAGTTATATAAAGAGTAGTTAGTACTTAGCATCTATATGCTTAGCAGAACAGCTGGAAGTAGGAGGAAGCTCCTAGCTTTGGAAATTATTTCTGCAACTCTACAAGTTTGTTGCTACACAACTATGACTGATTGTTTTCCAGTCAGTCTGGAAATTAGAATTTAGATTTTTATCAATGTGTTTTATCAAATACTTTCAGAGGAGCCACAGTATCCAGGAGGATGTAACATTTTTAACAACATCTGCCTCTGTGTGAGAAGAGTTTAGGTAGCTGCCCTCCACTGTGATTAAACAGTAGATGAATCACTTCCTTAAACCTAGTAGCAGCGCTCTATACAACATGCAACATTCACACAAGCATTAACTTGCCTTGAGGAGACTTTTGTTGTGATTTGGCGCTATATAAATAAAATTGAATTGAATTGAACTTCTATGCTTTTAACTGCTTACCATTCCTACTCCCATGGATGCATAAAGGAAAAACTTGGGATATTTGGCATGCAGACTGGGGGAGCCAGGGATCAAACCACTAATCTGCTGATCAGTAGATGACCTGCTCCACCTCCTGAGCTACGCAAGTCTTCTGGCAACATCACATCTCCCATAACTGTGGTTTTCTGCTTGATGACAACCACTATGTCTGGTTGGTTGGTGAATCCCTCAGGGCCATAGCCCTGTTGTTCAGCCATATTTGGCTGTATCTCCCATCAAGAACTGGGGACTTCTAACTCATATGCGGCAAAGATGTTCTCATACAGGATCCTAACCACTTGGTTGTAACTCTCAGTTTATGCTTTTACAGCTTGCAACTGAGATCCTGCTACCATGTGCCGGACCTTGGGTTCATTGCATAACGTAGTAGAAACCACTAATGATGATGAAATGTGAGATTTAGGTAATCCTAGAAACTAAATGGAACCTAATATACACATAAAATCCAGTTGCCTTTGTATTTAACCTTAAATTTTCATTTGTACAAACTCATACATTATGGCATTTGCCATCCTTACGTACTGGTCATAAAAATCTCATCCAATGATTGACTTGTAGAAATGTTAGTTGGCTATCTGAAGCAGAATATATTTGGATTTGAGTTAATGAAAAAAAAAAACTCAACACACTACCAAGAAGATTTTAAAATATCTTTATTTGAACATGGTCCGAAAAAATACATCTTTAAAGTTTCTGTAGATAGCAAATGCTTTGTGAGCACTTCAGGCAGGCTGTTCAGAGCGCAGACAGCAAAGGGATGAAGCCATACAGCATCAAGAAACAGCTGGACGTTCTGCACATTGACAGACACTTCAACAGCTCAAAGCGAAACACATTCAGAGAAAACCTTTAGACCTTCTTCTACTAATACATTTCATGTTTTCTGACCAACAGGCCAGGCAATAGTTCTTCATTATATTTTAATATAACTACACTTCATCCAATATCCACTGCTGGTGAATATCAAAATCTTCAGTGATTGTTCATAAAATGAAAATAAGCTAGTTAAGTAGATTGTACTAAAAGTACACAGTTTATGTAAAGTCAGGTAAAGTATATACTCGTGTTTGTTCTCACTGAGTTAGATAATAATGGATCTTATTTCAGTCTGTAATACAAAGCTGAAGCACAGCAATGACTAACTTAGCTTAGCAGAACGCAGGAGCAAACAGCTAGCATATCTTTGTGGAATGGTTGAAAAAACAAAACAATGAATTCTCACATCATATACATTTTTTTAAATCCACAAAAATACTACAGTGTAAAAACATGAATTTGTCTTTTTTTTTCAAGCATTATATGTGGTAATATTAACTACAGATATATCAGTCTGTCCAATTAGGAAGCATAAACTGGTTTCACCTGATCTGGTGCAAATGAAAGTGTTAACAGGTGCTCTGGAGAGCCAACAACAAGACAACCCCCAAAAGGGGGAATTGTTTTGCAGATGGCGGCCGCACACCGTTCACATCTTCTTATCCCTCCTGACTGATTTTTCTCCTGTTTTGCTTTTTTCTAGTGTCCTTGTCACTGCCAGTACCATGAGACAGTACCTGCAGCCCATACAGGTATTTCTGTGTCTCCCAGCACAGTCTTAAGTTTGTGAAATTGCACATCTACTGCAACACTAGATTTGCCATTCCACAAAAAGAGCTGGAAAGGGCCACAGGGGCCATGAACACTATTAAGCCATATTACAAGGCAAGTCGGATCAGTAAATGATTTCAATTTTAAACTTGGATTTTTGGTGTCATTTTAAATCCAGCCCTAAATGCGTTGATGACTTTGGTTTCCTATGATTTTCCCGTTGTTCTCAACAAATTACGTTGTATATCTGTAAGAATTACTTACTGATAGTAAGAATGAGTAATTAAGATCCATGTGATCACTGATTTAAGTGTTTCTTTAATTTGTTCAAGCACTGAAAACACTAGCAATAAAAGATTTTTGGATTCTGTAACATGAAAACTAACAGTTTTATTTTTTAAACCAAGTTAAACTTCTGAAATTCCCAGAGACACAAGTACAAATATCTAATATCTAATTTCTGAGAAAGGCTTAATACCTGTAAGAAAATTATCAGGTTTAACAGTCTTTGCTTTCTGTATCAAACTTTCGCTTAGTTAAAAAGTGTACATAACCTAGAGCTCTACTTCTGCTTGCAGTCATCTACAGATTCTTCACAATAAAACATGTACAATGGTTTAAGCATGTTATAAACAAAATACTTAATTGAATGCTTCATAAGTCAACCCTTTACAGAGACAAGACACAAGACACTTAACATTTCAATTCCAGTTAAAGCTGGAATGCCAATTTTGGAGTGTACAGAAGTTTGATCTGTATGAAAGAGGCACAAAGAAGATGATGCCATAGAGTCTTGAGAGAAACAGCCCTTATGTTTAAGACCAATGGCAGTATCATGATATAAAAAAAAAACCCAATGCATACTGTTCTCCTTTGTTTCTGTGTGGGACAGGTTAAAATAACCGGTGTTCAACTTTGCCTTGCTTATCAGTAAACAAGTATCTTGCAGAGCCTGGTAGGAGCCCTCTCCTAAACTATTATTTATTGTCTGGGCAGAACTCAGGCCGATAAACTATAACCTTCTAAAATCAACTTGCAGTAATTGCTGGCCACCATTTTTTCTGCGGGGGAGAAAAACAAAGAAAACGACAAAACAAAGCAAAGCAAAGCAAAACAAAACCAAGCTTAAAAAAAGGAATTGTCATCAATAATTATCGATTATGGAAAAGATTGCCATGGGTGTATGTGTGGACCTGAGAGCTTTGCTTCACTCCCCCATCCTCTCTATCATATGCTCTGCAAACAGTCTTCTGACTGCAGCGATGCATGTCCTACAGAAGGTTAGCTGGTATCCACCATAACCAAGTTAAAAAAAGGGTTCAAGTTAGCCACAGCAGCTAATTTTACCACGGGCAACAACAGCAACACATGTAAGCAGGATCACACCTTTTATTTGGCTTTGACCACATGTTCAACCACCTTACAGAACTGCAGGGACATAGTCAACAAACACTCTGTCTGTGTCCCCCAAACACACATATACTTTGTTCTCTTAGTCTTAGTCCTTAGTTAGATCTTTGCATGTTTGCAGTCATTACTTTTGTAAATAAATTCTCATTAATACATATCCTGGTGTAATTAATGTTGTATAGGAGGATGTTGACCACGGCTGGTATACACAATTCTCAATTACTGACTATTCAGATATAACTTTAAATGTAATTTTAAATTTAATTATTAACCAGTTTCAAATAAGTCATTTAGTATATTTTGTGGATCTGATAAATTAATAACTTTTCTTGATTTGATTGTTTTACTCATTCAAGTCCCCAAATTAATGGTTAATCAATTGAGAAGAGGTTAGTTGTTTTATCAGTGTATGTTCATTTGAAGGTGGTGTCTCAAAAAAGTAAATTCTTTTTCAGGGACAAATTCTGAGGTACAGTGATAACGTTGGTTGCTACTAACCTCTACACTACAATAACAATAGATAGTTATTTCAGTACAGTGGCACAAACCACCTTGCGCACAAAGGGCTTGTTCTGTAAACAGTTGGTAGTAGCGATAGTACCCATGTACCACAGTTGCTCTCTCCTGAATTCTGAAAGCTGAAAGATGTCCAACATATCCATCCTTACAGACTGAGCTGATCACAAGCGACTGGTCCCACATCGAATATGTGAGTACGGAAATGCCTTTCCGAAGTGACTGAATGGCAAGATTGAGTATTTAAACCCAGGAAGAGTGGTTGATGTAAAAACATCAAGTTAAGGTAATTTTCTTTACTTGCTGGTGTGAATATTAATAAGCTGGATAAATGCAAACTTGTCCTGATTTTATGGAGTATTTATTTAGTATGGGATAAAGAGAACAGCAGCATTTTTAACGAACAAATATCCAGATGTTTTGGCTGGATGACATTCTGCTGTTTCAGCTAAATAAGTTATTGCCAGATGACCTAGAGCGACCTGCACTGATGAAGATGATAAGGATCTTCATGGATCTGAGGAAGTGCTTCAAAAAGTAGAAGGAAACAATTATGCTAGTGCACAAAGGTAGCTTTTTGATTCCTTTGGCTTGACTTTCTACTAGGAAGAACTGAAATGGGAAGTGGAGGTGGCTAGGAGAGGAGATACGAGGATTGAGGTCGAACTGGGTGCTTGAGTTAAGCAAACTGGTGACAAAACTGCTTTAATGACTGTCGTTGAAAGAAATTTTGAATGAGAAGTAAAACACACTGGTACTTCAAAAAGGTCGTCGTATGAACAGGATCTCTGACACATTGTCAACAAAATCTTGTCCTACACAATATCTTTCGCACCTGATTCAAAGTCTGCTCCACACGTCTTATCCTCTGCTCGTAATTTAGTTAACAAACAGAGATAGGAAATGGAATCTTGACACAGGGACTGGCTTGTCTTTTGTCCAAAAGATGGTATAAGCCTTTAATCCTCAGTCTTAAAAAAGTTTCTACATAGAAGTATTTTTGGATAAATTGGTATTTGCTAAGTATTAACATACAGCATATTACCAGGAATGCATCAGCTCCAGTCTCTCAACTGTATAGAAAGAAGACATGAAACCTGCTGATTAAAGCTTTATTCAAATTCCAAAATTTTTAATATTATTTTATTTTCATATGTTTACTAGTAAGCAAGGCAGAGGTGGACAGTCAAGACCATAAACAGGGAGATGAAAACTAGTTTGTGTGTTATTTTCTATGAATGTTTCAAAAAGATTCAGAAGGTTAACTAAATGTTGAGCTAAAGATGGAGCATTTCCTGAAAAGCTTAGGTGAAAACATGGCCTTGATGTTGTCCCTTACAAAATCAAAAGAGCATGTATTTGGGTCCTAGATTGTGCTGAGACACTAACATTTATACTGTTTACAGAAGGCAAAACATAGCATTCAAGTGAACTTCCTGTCAAACGAAACCAGACACATCACCTTTTATCTCATCTCATAGGAAAAGAAAGAAAACCACAGCAATGCAAATGTATCAAAGTAATCATATATTCCCATTTGGATTAGATATTTGTGGCTCCACTGTTAAAAAAAAAAAATACTGACACATTAAAACATTTATCTTGTTGTTTTTGGTATGTCACTGGCAGTGTGTTTTTAGCAACTGAGGATTTTCATTCCAAAATGCTACATATCCATTTTTGGAAAACATGGGGAAAGTAAAAACGTCTCAAATCATAGTAAATTACTTTTCACTGAGCAGTCACTTTATCTGTAAATGACTTAATGACAGTACCTTGGATATCTCTTTTTGGAATGAAACCCGAACTCGTGACTTTTCATTGCTACAAAGGAAAATTAGGAATTATGTTTCAGTTGTGAAGATCAACTGTCCTTCTACTTTGTGTTTATCAGACAGAAGACACACGTTACCTTAAATAATTTTACATGACGAGCAAAAGAAAAGACTTTTGTCAAGGTTGAAGAAAAATGCTGTTTCCTTTTTTTAAAATCAAGTTTAGAACTTGTTTTTATAATGAATAATGTATATACATTTTTAAAGAATGTAAGGATTTAATCTACACAAGATCCAAAGTGAATACTGCTTTACTTTAATCTGACGATATGAGTGTAAACACTTGGTAAGTTTTGATAGTGAATGAGCTCTGTGTTTTGTTTTGGATTTGTTGTGAAGGAAGCCATGGCTTATTTCCACATCTGCAAAATCTTGTGCAAGCTGCAGGAAACTCGTGAATATGTGACAAGCCCTAAATAGCAAGTTTCATGTTTGTACAGTATAAATTAAATATTAGTTCATGATCGCCTTCTGACACACTTTCTGATGTGTCATTTTCAGTGATTTACTATGATTTATGGTGAAAAAAATGTAGTGGTTCCTAACAATTCACATTCATCTTTTTATTTTCTAAGTATAACTCATATACACTACTGTGCAAATTTCCTGAGCCACCCCTCATTTCTTTATATATTGCTTCCAAGGACCCAACCTTGATTGTAATTGGTCTTTAGTATTTCTCCAGGATTTCTGAAGGCCTTTTTCTTTGGACAATGGCTACTTGTTCACTCATTTTCAGTCCAGTCCAGATCATTTTCAGGAGAATATTCTTTTGTTTGATGAGCCATTTAACAATGGCCCACGAATCACAGAAAAGGCATAGACCGTAACACATGAACCGGTGTTGTATCTTCACATTAAAGACAACTTAGTACAGAACCAATTTTACACTTTATCCTTAGCACTTTGTTGTCATTTTCCCTACGTCATTAGTTTGTTCTATGAAAATGGCAAAGATCACACAGGCTTGCAGGCATAAAACAGTACTTGTGCACCAACGAGGCGATTCGGAAAGAAAAATTCACAGAAAACTTGGCAAATCTTGGCATACAGTGTTCAGTGTTCCCTTAAGAAATCGGAGGAAACAGGACATGTGGAGTACAAAAGAAGAAGTGGCAGACCTAAGAACTATCTACAGCAGGTATATGAAATCAAGTCATTAAGAAATAGGAAAAGATCAGTCAGTCAGATGACCCTCTATGAGCAAGCAGTTGGCAACAGTGGGAAGCAAAATCCCAATTTAAATGTTTTGCTTCAAAACGTAGTTAAGAGAGAGGTCATCTGTGAATCAAACTGATTTTGGGCTGCTGTGCATCCTGTGGTTTTTGGGATCTTACCAAAATTTATGAAAATATGGTTGCATCAGATTTTGATGCACCATGCATTATACTTGCCAGTGGCGTCATCATCCAGGACGACAATGATCCTAAACATATAGTCAGTATAGTAAAGCATACTTTGGTAGAAAAAACCCCACCTGCCATGAATTGGCCTAGCCACAACCCAGACCTCAACATTACTGAAGCAGTGTGCGCACAGGTGTTTTCACCTTACATTCTGTTCCCATTCAACAGAATTCTGTTCTATAAATCACTGCACGGATCTGCCATTTCCCAAGCAAAACATAAAGAATTGAGAGATGTCTCAAGATTTCTGCCCAGTACTGTAATTTGTAGCTCTTCATGGAGAAATGACATTTTTGTTTCATAGCAACAAAGTAAGGATGGAACGATTATGTTGTTTTAAATTAATTTTACTACATTTAATAAGGATAAAGATTACAAAGGGAAAAAAATTGCATGAAATAATGATCAAGTAATTACAACAGTGGATCATATATGTCTCCACTGTATATTTCGTAATTATACTATCTTGCATGACGTTAACTTTTTTAAAGTCAAAATTAAGAAGTCATTTGAAAAATTCACACCTCTTAATCAAAAATCAATATTGCCTTAACATAGGATTTTTGTTTTGGTATTCTGGGATAGGGTGAGTTTATCAAGGTGCTTATTCATAGGAAATTTAAAATGAGCAAAGGTTGCATTTGTAAATTGCGAGAATAATTCTTTGAAATTCGGAAACAAAAGACTTGTAATTACATAAAAATAATTACAAGATCCTTACATATAACAATAATCTCAAATATATTTGAAAGTTCTGTGCCTTGTAAAGGTAATAAATAGTTTGAGCTTTACAACCCTATCGAAAAAAACTATGGGATAAATAACACAAGGACCTTCTAATTAAATACAAAATTGTTAACTCCTAATTATGCAGTGACTCTAGCATTACAGATGTAATTCTAAGAGCCTTATCTTGCAAATACGAAACAACTACTTGTTAATTAGATTAATTAGAATAAGATTCGTTATGATTTTTGGAAGTAAAATAAGGATCTAATTTTTTGTAAGTTTTCATTTTGTGCTTTTTTCATTTTGTGATAGTCATTGTTTCTCATGTTGTTTGGAAAATAAGTCTTCTTACTTCCTCATAGTTCACTCACCCTCTCACTGAGGGTCTCCAGCTCTTCCTCCTTTTCCTTGTAACGCTTCATCCCCTGTCCAACTTCACCACAGGGGCTGTTGGTTAGGTGCATGGGGTAGTCTAGGCCGCTGAGCTGGGCGTGATGATGCCATCGCAGGTCATCACTCTCATGGGTGATATAGCGCTCGTTTATCCGAGATTCAAGGTTTCTTAGATCCAGCCACATCTGGTAGTCCTGGCGGAGAAAATGAACACACCCATAGCCTAAATAATTTAATAACACCATTATCTTGTCTTTTGTCTTTTACAAAAAACACATATAGCAAACACTTTTGAAATCAGATAATGGGTGGCTGGTCGTATTTTCTCGTTGTCTGCTTTTGTCTGAAAACTTTGTGGTGAAAGTCTGAAAACCACAAACTTTGGTTGTGGTGACAAATACATAATATATAGATAATTGTGTTCCATTTACTTCTGATTAGTGTCATTCAAAATACTATCATTTATAAGTGTACAAAGCAAGTGTACTTTCAGTTGGGACAGTGGTTAGCACTTTTGCCTTGCAGCAAGGTTTTGGGTTCAAATCCACCAGGGACTTCCTTTATAGAGCTTCCATGTTCTCCTAATGGTTGCCCAGGTTTGCTCCAGGTACTTCAGTTTCCTCAAACAGGCCATAGGCAGTTAGTAAGGTCAGGTTAACTGTTTGTTCCAAAATGCCTGTATTTGGATTTGCATGTGAAAAGTTGTCTGTTTCTCTGTGTTAGCCCTGCAACAGCCTGGCGACCTGTTCAGGGTCCTGTGATCCTGTGATAGTTGGAAGAGAATGAATGGATGGATATATTGTTATCTAGTGACCTCCTAAATCCCCTACTGAATTCCTTACAGAGTATTCAAATCTCTTTGCATGCCACCAGATATGTTAATACTGCAAAATTGTTTTATTAGGTCCATCATGGTTAATGGTCCAACTCATGATGTTGGACACATCCTGGACCTTGTTTTTGCTCCTGTCCTATCCCTAAACTCGCTCTTCATGTCTGTTCTACAACCAGTTTGTCTTCACAGAGGTAGATGCAAATTATCTTTAATTAGATTTGGGCAGCTAGATTTTCAACTCTGAATTGATTTAATAATCTGTGTACATTAGCCCTTGATAATGTAAAAATCCAAATTAGCTCATGCTGTAATTTCCTCCCCTTGGATGAGTGGTTATATTCATCATCACAGAACAGACTGCAAAAAAGCTGAACCAAATACAACCTTCTATGTGCACTAGCATCACATAAAGGACCTACTAACCACATTCATTCAACTTGTAAAATATGCATAACATCCTACTTGTTTGGCTTGACTAACAATAATAAGTGCAATGCAAGCTTCCTCTTTCAACAGACTTTTTATGCCTGCTCTGTGCAGTTTTCCTGCGACATCATCTGATGATTGTGGAAATTTCTTAATTGTTTTCCCGGCAAAAATCAGTGGAATCAGATCAAAGTTCAAGCCTGGAACCTGTCACTTTGTTTTAAAATAGTTTTTATCATACTTCTCCAATCTTCTCCAATCATCATACTTCTCCAATCATCAGATCAGGATCTCCTAACTGCTCCACACTCTAAACCAGAGGTGACCACACTTCTGAGGTTGTAGCACCTAAACCTTCGAACAGTTTAGGCACTACAACTTCACGCCTAAACTGGTAAATAACTACATGAACAGATTTTCTGGCTCAGTGGGGGGAGCAAAACTGGCTGTAAACACAAAAATTGTTGTTTTTTTTTACCTACACTATATTTTCTGATTATCATCAACATAAGATATAAATCTAACAGATAGCAAATAAAATGCAGCATTAGCATTATTGTGGAATTGTGCCTCTGGTTTTTATCCCATACCAAAGTGAAATGCATTGTGATTCAACAACTAGATGTTTAATTCTTATTCACTACATATCATTAAAAGAATGTGAGATTACATGTTCTCAACTCATTCAGTTAATTCAGTTTGGAACTTCATGTGTGTCAGAAGTCTAGTCGGGTTGCTATACCAGAATGAAATCCTTTTCAGTTCAGCTTGCTAGCAGTGTTACACAATACAGTAGCTGTTAGACTGCATTTCCTGATTACTGCAGAAGCTGTGACCTTAATGTGGCCCCACTTACTTTGCCTGCAGACAATAAAGTTTATTTAAATAAGATGGATTAAGGTTGCTAATGTTAAATAAACAAAAAGAAAAAAATTCCCAAAACTCCAAAATGTTTTTACATGCTACACATATGGGGTTAATGAAAGCTCTAAATCTTAACTGAAACAGTAATCATATAAAGTGAACCCTTTATATGATTTGGATGATGCTATATTAATCTGAAATGTATTATTGACTGATTCTTGATTGTTATGTTACAGATTTGTATTGAACTTGAAAAATGCTCCCAAATTGATTTTAATGGAGTTATTCAAATGACTGATTTCCTACCTGCAACCAGGGATGGCTTAGTGTCTTGTCAACACTATATCTCTTTCTCATCTTCACTTGCAGCAAGTTGTTGATCAGGTCAATCGCTGCATGGAGGAATACAAGAATGTAAGAAAGAAAGAACATAGGGAACACAGGGGGAGAATGAAAGTGCAGAGTATTAGTAGGAGGAGAATTTGGGGTTGAGGCCCACCCATGGTCATGGGCCAGTCAGGGCTAATGAGCAAAGCTAACATGATGTTAACCTCTCTTTAGGGGTCAGTGGTCTGAACAGCTCTGGGACCCCAAGGCCCCTCAGGTCTACAGAGGCCTCCATCACTTGGCATTATGCACATGAATGGACTACCGTATGAACCCACCCCCCCTACAAACCTAAGATCCTCATTCCACAAACTGATGGACTCTCCTAGTTCTTCAAGTTACCACATACATTCACCTCTCCTTAACTCCTCAGCAGCACTGGCTCTCTCCTGTTTCCCAGACCTGTCTCATGACCTCATAATTTGGATAATCCAAACCAAAGGCCAAAGAATAACAATGTTAGTTTACAGTCATTCTAAACAGTTATTGAACTGCAGTGTTTAGTCTCACAAGAAACCTGATTTAAAGACATACACACAACTGTGAATAAATAATGAGAAATAGTTTATTGTTATTACTTGACCAGATCGACATCCCAGGGGTATAAAAGTAAAATTCTGTTGATGGACACCTTTTATACCCTATCCATACCCTATTTTGAAATGTAGTTGTTTCCTTACTTTTAAGCCAAATCCACCTAAAGTATAGATTTCAGAAAATTCTGTCATGTAGATATAGAATATTTGATTCCTGTGTTGACAAGGGGTTCAGGGAAGAGTGGAGAGGGCAGTGGGGAAGAGAAGGGCATGGATGTGTGAATTTCTTGGTGACATTTGGAAAAACATCTATAAAGTTCTCAGTCATCCAGGTTATGGTTATATCTAAGGAGGTTGGAAAGAAAGCAACTGGACTTTTTTCCACAAAACTTAAAGAAGTCAGAAGGGCATTATTAACTGAAAAAACACCCCCAAAACAAACAAAGCAAAACAAAAACAAATCCTATTAAAGAGATCAAAAGTTTTGAAACTAAGATTAACCAGAATTATATAAAGAGAAAGGTATGGAGAAGAAAAGGAACTTCTCATGCCGTCAAGCAGATCATCTGTCAAACATGGTGGAGCCAATGCTATGTCATGGTCATGTATGACTGCCATTGGAACTAGGTCATTAGTATTTGTTAATCCTGATAAAAGTAGCAGAATGACTTCTGAAGTGTTAAGGCCGATACTCTGCTGACAGACCTGGTAGAGCATTTCAAAAGAGCAACAACATTTGTTGATATCTATGGATTCTAGACTTCAATCAGTCACTGACTGCAAAGGCTTTTCATCACAGTATTAAAAACAATTCTCATGTTTAAAGATATCTTAGATTGTCATTTTGAGCCCTATAAAATAGCTAAAATCAAAATAACTATAATCCCTGAAATAATATCTGCAACATTTTGTTAAATGCCTTAAATTAAATATTTAAAAGCTGCACTCTATGGTGATGTGCAGAGAATAACAAAATCTGTGTCAAATATTTATGGTCCTAAATAAACCTAAATATGAAGTAGTGCAATCCCAGTGAAAGAGAGGATATGAACTGTATATAACTGTAAATGATAAATTATACAACATATATCTCTCATGTAGTGTGATATGCATATGTAGGAATTAAACATTTTTTTAAAACAAATGAATGAATTGTAAAATGCAAACAATTTAAATAATTGTCAATAATTAAATCAACTTTAATTAATATTTCCCCTATTGTTGCCTCTCCAAGGAATCCTTTATCGCTTTTATTTGGATCAAAGGAAGTGAACTAGGTTCACAATAGATTATGCCTTCTAACTGGGTAGATACATATACCTGAAGTTTACCAGACTTTGTGCTATATTGTAATTCTCAAGTGTTCCCTTAACTTTTTTTGAGCAGTGTACAAAATATCCTTGCACTAATGTGTGAACACAGTGCTCTGTCTTTGGTCTTTCTTTTCCGTTTATCACAAATAAACCTGCTACTAGAGAGCTCGGTCTTTTCTCTTTGCAATTTACGATTTAGAAATGAGGATTGCATCATCATTAAAAGCTGCAGATATTAAAAAAGTTATTAGTGTATACTTCTGTTAATTTTGGCTGCTTCTTTGTCACAATGCTGTATAAAATTTTTATATCAATTATATTTTATAAATGTACTAGTATAATATCATCTGAAGCCCCAGCATGCTTTAAAAACAACTTGTATTATTTGGGATGTGCAAGAAGGTTGGCTAATGCAATCTTATTGAGTCTCAGGTAATGGCAGTTAAAGAGTAGCACCATCATCAATGAATGGGTAACAAGTGTCCCCTTTATTAAGGTGCAGAATTGTAGTCAGAGTTTCATGACTGCGCCACCAGCTACAAAAAAGAAGCGTACAAAGTTTTTGCCCCATAAAGGGCTCAATGGCAATACCTTAGAGGGTACCACTAAGGTAATGCCTGGTATATAATGGCACAGTGATGTGCCATTATACCTTTAAAGGTAAAACAAAATACTTTTTTCCTGGGGGAGGAAGACTACCTCTGCATGACCATAAATGTGGTAGACTTTCAAAACTTTATTTCATCTCCATTTAAAAACTTGAATTGTGTATGCTTGTAGGCAAAAGGGTCTTATTTAAAACTGATCTTTGCAAACGCACATTTCTTGGCGCACTTAGAGTTTATTCCCTGACATTTAATCCTCCTGTGGCCAACAGAAATGGCTTGTATTTATTTTGAAGCACAGCTCAAGTCATTCTGGCAGTATGAGGAGGTGGAGGGAAGGTTAAGAGCACTTCGGGGATCCGGTTTAGGAGTGAGTGAGTCAGGCGATTTTAAATCTGTCTCATAGTCAACAGGACAATTCCAGCCAACACACACGGCAGACACATTTAGAGACAATGACGGCAACAACATGAGTCATACAGCAGCAGAGAATGGCTTGAACTGATTTCAAGGAAATGTTGGAGTTATTATACTGCAACATAAAACATAATTACCTCTGCTTGTATGCTGTCATACATGGTGTCATACAGAAAGATGAAACAAGCAATTCATCTTTGATCACACATTCAACATTTCAGTCAGTCTCGCAGACATGAATCTGCCTGTTTAATATATTCTAATTTAAAAATCCAGACATAGAAATAAACAGGTATTGGTCTCTAAATTTTGAAGCTTTGGTATTAATGCTTTGGCTGCTGTTTTGCTAGTTTTAGTGTCAGAAGCAGTGTTGGGAAGGTTACTTTTAAAATGTATTCCATTACAGATTACAGAATACATGCCCCAAAATGTATTCTGTAACGTATTCCGTTACGTTACTCAATGAGAGTAACGTATTCTGAATACTTTGGATTACTTAATATGTTATCATGCTTTTACAACTACGTGAATGTACTATTGCTGTGTGA